TTTTTTTTTATAGTGTTTTGTTTGCTTTTTGAGACAGGGCCTTACTATATAGTCCTTGAACTCACTGTATAGCCCAGGGTGGCCTCAAATTAGTGCATAAATCCTCCTGGCTCAGTCTCCCAAGTGCCGAGACTATAGGTATGCTCCACTGCACTTAGCTTCCTGGGTTCATTTTTAACCAGAATGGAATCAGGCTTCTCAGTGCCATAACTTTTTTCTGTAATTGCTGTATTATGGATATCATTTCAGGTTGGAGTTACCTATTTCTCTTGGTAGCAGCTGCATCATTATTATATTTTTCTCCCGTGATCTCCCCTGACCCCCAATACTGGACATTGACACTAAGTTATATCCCCAGAACTTAATTTTTATTTTGAGACAGGGGCTCTCTAAGTTCCCCAGACTAGGCTCAAACTTGAGACCCTCCTGCCACAGCCTCTAGGTGCTGGATTACAGGTGAGCACCTCCACACCTGGCCTGCATATCCCGTCTCCCACGGTGCCTGCACTCTGCACGGTGCTCAGGCTGCTGCAGCAGCAAATCCCTCCCCCGCTCTGCTCTGCAGGCGCCTCGGGCAGGGTGTCTGAGGACAAGGTCTTGGCAGCAGTTTGGGCCTGCTGGCTGTGATGTTCCCTTACTGCACTATGTCCACTTGGACAGAAAGGCCATTGCTCTTCAGGGGACTTTGAAAACCAGAAGCCAAACTGACTATACCCAGATGTGACTGAAGTCCACAGCCCTGACACTGTCCTGGCAAGCTCTGCTCGCTGCTGCACGGTGCAGCCTCTGCCGCCGGTGTTGCCTGTCTGGGCCGTTCCATCTCACCATCCACTTGCGGAGGTGGGGAGGAGGCTGGCAGCCCATGTCTGATACCGACCGGTCCAGGCCTGGAGACCCTGCTGCACACACGAGCCACCCTGCCCCACAGATGCAGTGCGGGAGGCCAGCAGCGCATACCCTGTGGCTCTGGGTTCTTCTTCCCAGCCCCAAGGAAAGTCTGTGTGTGGCCAGGCCGTTCCTGCCCGGGACCATGGGAAGGGGCCGTGTGGAGGAAGCGGCGTGGGTGGCTCGTCTTGTTGATCTGAGCTCACAGCTGCCGTTTTTGGTTACTGCGCTTGTGTTCTCTTCCACAGAAGAAGGAGCCACGGAGAAATGAGTATAGTGGTGTTTCGGAGGAGGAGAGTTGTGAGAGGACAGAGGAGGGTGCACGGCAGGCATTCGTGTTCGGGCAGAACTTGAGGGACAGAGTGAAGGTAGGTGCTGTCACACCGTGGCGGAGCCTCCTGGGACCAGTGGCACAGACACTGGGGACGTCATGCTTCCCAGCCTCTGGTCACCCTGCCCAGCACCAGGCTGCCCCCAGTGCTGCCCACTCAGCGTGGCACTTGTGTGATTTCCACGGCAGAGGGGAGCTGAGCATATGCGTCCAGCCATGCTGGAGACCAGTCAGAAGAGGAGAGCCCCTCGGGGCCCCACGTGCGGGAGCCGGGGAGGCCGGAGTGGGCAATGCTGCCTCCCGGCACAGGCTGTTCCAGCAGCTCGCCGGCCAAGAAGCTCTGCAGTATTCTGAGATGTGGTGTCTGTGGCCATATCTAAGACATGTGTGGCTGTCACAGCTGGAGAAGCTCCTGGCCTGGAGCAGGTGAAAGCCAGGGAGGCTGCTCAGCAGCCTGCAGGACCCAGGACACCCAGCCCCGGTGTGCGCAGTGGCCTGCGGAGCCTGAGATGAGCAGTCAGAACTGCCTTGCCACATAGGAGATGCTGGTAGAAACCGCTTTCACTGTGCTGGTCACTGGCCAGAGCACCAGTGCCCTGCGAGTCATGGAAGTAGGCGCTGGGCTTGCCGCGCTTCTCCCCAAAGGACTGAGTCCCTCAGGGGCTGCTCACTGCACACTCAGGACCCCAGGCCTGGCGCAGTCCATCCCTGGGGCTTGGGGTTCATGTCTTACAGAAGTCAGATGTGTGCAAGTGCGGGTTCTGGCATCTCACCATGGACGCAGCTGCTCCTGTGAGGAGGCCCTGCCTTGTTGGTAGCTCAGGGTGACAGTGCCCCCCCGCAGGGTTCCATGGCTGAGGCCACAGTGGAGCATTGTCATATGTGTGACACAGTCCTGAGGCCAGATGTGTGAGCCCCTCTGACATGCTCCTGAGAGGCCCCCCAGAGCGCAGCTGTTTGTAACAAGGTAGAAAAGGCTCTCTGGCGCCCACTGGCCGGGCTTGTGTGGGGAGTGTGGAAAGCACCGTGTGGCAGTGCAGGCTACGGCCCCTGCCCAGCGGCCGCAGTGTGGCGCCGTGTGGGCTGGGCCACGGTGACCAAGGCCCCGCCCTTCTGTTTCCAGCTAATGAATGAAATCACTGACGCTGCTGACATGGAGAACATGGGACACCCCAGCTCCGAAACGCCCACCGCCACCAACTACTTCCTCCAGTACATCAGCTCCAGGTGTGTGTTGGGGCCTGGGGCTGCCCTCATCCTTGACTCAGACTGGAACCCAGGTCCTTCCCACCCCACCTGGCCACCTTTGCCCTGGGATTCAGTGGACCTGAGGCAGGAGCCAAGTTTGAGGGGCTGTGAAGCCCAGCCTCGCGGGTCACGGGGACCTCTGTCCTGGGCCTTGGCCGTGGGCAGAGCCGATAGGCAGTGTGAGCTCCTTCACCTCCTGGAGCTGTGAGGGACCCATTGGTGCCCATGGCCTGGGCTTGGGTGCCTGGGCCCAGAAGGAAGGTATTCCTGCCTGGGACACAGATGCTCCTCAGCCTGACAGAGCTGGGCACCAGGAGGACCCAAGGGTCTCACTTCTGCTTGGACATGTGCGGCCCAGAGGCTCGGGCAGAGGGAGTCTGGCTGCCCGCTGCCGGTTCCCGTCTGCTGCCCACGGTGCTCGCGCCTGCAGGCCCCACGCTCACCGCACGTCTCCTCTTCAGTGCAGAGAATTCAACCAACAGTGCCGATGTCTCCAGCAACAAGTTCGTGTTTGGCCAGAACATGAGCGAGCGTGTGTTGGTGAGTGGTCCTGTTGACAGTGTGTCCTTGGTCAGGGTACATGTTGTGTGGCTGCCTCACTGCAGCCTGTAAATTCAGGACTTTCCTGTGTAGCAGAGAAAAAAATCCCTGCTCCGATTCCGCTTAAAGATGGGCTAGGCCCTTGGCTTTGCTGGCCCGGGAGGCCTCCTGGGTACCAGCCATCGCCACCTTCACTGAAGCTTCCTTGGTGACCGTGGCTCCTCCTATAAGGCCAGCTGGGGTGATGAGAGTTGTCAGGTCAGCAGGCTACAGCCCAATGGGGACAGGGCGTCCATGTTCCCTGCTGGCATAGCACTGCCACTTTTGTGGGGTGGCGGCATCAGGGCCAGCAGACAAGGCCAAGGAGCTGGGTGCACAGAGAGCCTGGCCTGCACGGAGGGCTCTGGCGGGTCTCCGGGCGGCTGTGCCTCCTCCTGCACTCGGCCCTCTCCACGCTATGGACCACACGCGCCACTGCCCAGCTCTGTGGCCAGGCGGTTCCTTTGCCCGTTCTGTAGTGATCCGTGGCCCCCTGAGAGGTGTTAGGAGACGAGAGCGCAGCCGGGGGTGGGGTGGGGAGGCTCTCGGGCTCGTGTGTGGCGCACAGGTGTGGCTCTGCCGGGATTTGTCCAGCGTGGCACTGAGCAGCAGCAGCATGAGGACTGCTCCGGCTCGCGGCTTCTATTCCGTGGGCCTTACGACCTGCACCACACAAACTCTCCTCCTCCGTGTGCCTTTGTTTTCCCGCAGAGCCCCCCCAAATTGAATGAGGTCAACTCAGATGCCAACAGGGAAAACACAGCTGCAGAGTCTGGATCCGAGTCCTCTTCCCAGGAGGCCACCCCAGAGAAAGGTATGTCATGGTCAGTGTACCTCGTGGGAGTCCCCGCAGTCAGCAGTGGTGACAGGTGGTGAAGGGACCCTGTATCCATCTGTGCCCTGCCCAGGAGGGGTGGCACTGACCCCTAAAGCAGTGGCCACCAGGGGACTTAGGAACACCCTGGGAGCAGCAGCTGTGTGAGCAGGCTGTGCGCTCCTCTGTGCCCCCAGGGGGCCCATGCTCCTCTGCCCCGCTGGTCCGAGTCCCGGGCTGTGCAGCTGAGTTGTCTTGGGCGTCTCCTCCAGATCTCACTGGTGTGCGCTCACCCCTCACCAAATCAATAGTCAGTCTCGTTTAGCCAATAACATTTCAGAGTCCCTGGCCGAGTCCGCAGCCGCCTACACCAAGGCTACAGCACGGAAGTGTCTGCTGGAGAAGGTAGAAGTCATCACTGGCGAGGAGGCAGAGAGCAACGTGCTGCAGGTGAGTGCTCTGCACGGCCCCTCCGCCCCCACAGCGCAGCCCGACCAGCAGTGCTGCGCACCTGGCGCCCCGCCTCTGCGGTGGCTGTGTGTTGCCGCCAGGGCTCACAGACCCCTCCTCCTGTCACCCAGAATGAACACCTGCGTCCCTTTGGCCCTAGTGTCTCACAGAGCTGCCGTGAGGGGAAAGAGCCAGCACACTCACCCCCCTCCTCCGGGGGCCCCTGCTCTCCCTCGCTCCACACAAACGCAGATGCCTGTGTGCCTGCCCTGAGCTACACAGAGCTGGGGTGTCTGTGAGCACTGCCTTTCTCCCAGTCGATGCTGGCTTTTTTGTTTTGATTTTCAGGGGAGTTTTTGTTTTGTTTTGTTTTGTTTTTTGAGACAGGGTCTTGCTATGTGGTTCAGGGTGGCCTTGAACTCACTATGTAGCCCAGGTTGGCCTCGAACTCACAGTGATCCTCCCGCCTCAGCCTCTGGAGTGCTAGGGTTACAGGTGTGCGCAGCCACACCCAGTATGTTTGGGGTTTTTTTTTGTTTTGTTTTTTGTTTTTTGTTTTTCAGTAGGGCCTCATTGCATAGCCCAGACTAGCTTTGAATTTGCAACCCTCCTGCCTCAGCCTCCCAAGTGCCAGACTTACAGGTGTGCACTGTCACACTCAGCTCCTGTGCTGGCTCTCTCTGTTCGTGTTGGGAGGCACTGACACAGGAGAAGTTGCACCTCTTTTCCCAGGGTCACACACAAGTCTCTTGGTGTTTTTTTGTTGCACATTTAACAGTTTGGTTAAAGGATGATGCACGTACTCTATGGTTCAGTCTCTAAAGTGACTAATTCTGGGGGTTTAATATATTTACGGAATCACACAACCTTCTCTACAATCTAATACAGAATATTTTGTTCCCTAAAAAGAAGCCCTGTCCCCATGAGCAGTCTCCTGTCCGTGGAGCCCACACTGTGTGTCTGACCGCTGAGCATGGTATCCTTAAGGTCCCTCCATGTTGTGGCGAATGTCACAGCCTTGCTCCTGTCCTGGCTGCGTGGTTTCCCAGCATGGGGACAGACCTCACTGTGTGTCCCTGCATCAGCTGACGTTTGGCCTACGGCAGCTTTGGTGCCGTTATGAAAAAGACACTGCTGTTTCTGATGTGCACGTGTTTGTGCGGACACATGGTGTACTTCCCCTGGGTCAGTCCCTGGATCACGTGGAAACCCTGTGTCCCACACCTCGAAACTGCGAATCTGTGTATGCACCGCACTGACCTTGTGACGTCCCCAGCAGCACAGGGCATTCCCCGTTCACATGCCCTTACCTGTCTCTCTGGTCGTAGCCATCGCCCATGGGTACAGGATGGCATCTCATTGGAGTTTGATCTGTTTCTGAATTGACGCTTTGTCGTGCCACTTTTTTTTCTGTTTTTTTTTTTTTTTTGAGGCAGGGTCTTGCTATGCAGTTCAGGCTGGCCTTGAGTTCATTTTGTAGCCTAGGCTAGTCTTGAACTCACAACGATCCTCCTGCCTCAGCCTCCAAAGAGCTGGGATTACAGGCATGCCCCACCACACCCGGATTGTAGTGCTGCTTTTTATACACTGGCCATGACAGGTGTCACGGTGGCACACACCTGTAATCCCAGCACTTGGGAAGCCGAGGCAGGAGGATTGCCGCAAGTTCAAGGCCAGCCTGAGCTACATATTGAGACTATATGTCAAACAAAAGCAAAACACACAAAATAATACACTGGCCAATCGGGCCAGGGATGTGGCTCAGCAGTGCAGTGCTGCCTGGCAGGTGCAAGGCCCTGAGTTTGATTCCATGTATCAGAAAAAATACACTGGCCCATGGCCTACCGGGGCCTCGGGCTGTACTTTGGCAGCCCTGGAGCTCAGGTGGGTAGATGGGAAGTGCGGGTGCGGTCCCAGCAATGGCTCACCTAAGGCCACTGCCTGTGTTCTAGATCCAGTGTAAGCTGTTTGTCTTTGACAAGACCTCACAATCATGGGTGGAGCGAGGCCGGGGACTGCTCAGACTCAACGACATGGCATCGACCGATGATGGGACATTACAGTCCCGACTGGGTGAGCTGCCCTGGGCTGGGCTGGGCTGAGGGGAGAGCAGAGAGTGCCGCGCCTGCAGCGCCGGCCCTCGGTGGGGAAGACCCTCGGCTTCACAGTTCTTGCCCTTGGAGGTGCCATGGAGGTAGCAGAGTCCAGGGAGAAAGGAAGGCGGGGCAGCGCTCTTCACTGTGGTCTCTGGTCTCTGCCGCCCTCCGCCCGAGCCTCCTGTCCCAGGTCTTTTGCTGAGGAAGCGGTGCTCAGCTCCTGCTACCTTGCAAGCATCTCCTGGCGCTTTGGTTTTTTCTTTAAAACATTGTCTCTGAAAACTTCTACACTAATACTCTGTTGGCAGTTACTGTATTTGACTTTTTCTCTGCTCGCGGACATTTAGGTTGTCCCTTATTTACTTATTTATTTACTTACTTGCTTATTTATACTACTGTGGATAACATGATTGGGGCCATCTTTATACATGAAACCTATTCCAGAAGCAGGCTTTTTTTTTTTTTTATGTTAAGAGCAGAGTTTATTGAGGGAAAGAAAGCTTCTGTGCAAGAGAGAGACAGAAGGGGTCCAGAAGCAGACTTGTTACAAACAGAAGTGCACCCACGCACTCGCAGAGAGCACAGGTGCTCGTGTGTGCACTCTAACCGTGCACACCATCTTTCGCTCGTGTCCTCTCATCAAAGTGCCTCTGGCCTTCCTGGAAACGTGGGTCTGAGACCCCGCAGGAGCCCATGTTCCCCTTAGAGGCCCTGCTTTTCCACACTTTGCCTCAGAACTGCGCCTGGGTCTCTGCAGAGGTGCGGACACACAAAGGGCCCCCGGCCATCCACTGCTCAGCTTAGCCCCGTGGATGTTGTGCATTTTTTTCTTCCTTCCCTTGGAAACATTCAAACCCCTGTGAGCCTTGTATAGTGACTGAGGTGCCTCAGCTGTCACCCATGTGTCCAGCCTACTGCAGTGGTGCCCTCCTCGCCCTCACTACGTGTCACTAGGCTCCCTGTCCCTTCGTTCCCCAGACTCTGAGGTGAGCATTGGGACCAGGGATGTGGGCATGGAGAGACCCAGCCGTTGGGTCGCTGGCAGGGTGACTACTTCTAACCCTGTCCAGGCCAGTTCTGGAAGGGACAGCTGGGCCAGCAGGGAGACAACTCGGTCACATCGATGGATGGACATAGGCAGGCATGTGGCCCCGGCAGGGCGAGTATCACACCCCAGAGGGGCAGGGTGTCCCCTGTGTCCCTCCACAGTGCACTGCCCTTGGGCAGCCCCACTGTGTCTTGGCAGGAGCTGTAAGCAGCAACCTTTCTGTCTCTTTGTACCAAGAGAGCCAGAGGGCAGGGGCCAGGCGTTGGCCTGCACCGGGGAAGTCCGTAGAGCACAGTCAGTATCTGTGCGTGTCCTGTGCAGAAAGAGCCGTGTCAGTGTGTGCAGCCCCTGCTGCCTCCAGCAGTCTGACCCTGTGCCTGACTCATCTCCCTTGGGTACTCTGTGCTGGCACCTGCCCTGTGGGCGGCTGGGTAGGGCTTCAGGGGCTCGAGGCGGGCAGCGCCTACCTGCTGCTGCGTGAGGCTGTCCGGACTGGGGGCAGGCAGGGCCAGCCCAGCTGAGCTGCTTTGCTGGTTGCAGTGATGCGGACCCAGGGGAGCCTGCGGCTCATCCTCAACACCAAGCTGTGGGCCCAGATGCAGATCGACAAGGCCAGTGAGAAGAGCATCCGCATCACAGCCATGGACACCGAGGACCAGGGCGTGAAGGTCTTTCTGATCTCGGTGAGCCCAGCACCCACGCATGTCGTAGCTCCAGCCCCAGACCCGAAGGGAGGCCACACTGTGTATGCCACCAGCCATATGGGGCTCCTTGGCATGTAGGGGGCTATGCTGTCCCGAGACTCAAGCTCAGGTGCACTCAGCTCGAAGGGCAGAAAGAGGCCAGGTGTGTGGTCTAGGCCGTGGAAGGGAGGCAGGCACGGTGTCCTCGGTGGCGCTGTGTCCCCACAAGATCCCTAGTAGGCTGGAGCATTGCAGGAGTAGGCCTCCAAGGAAAGCTTGGAGCCCCGACCTGCAGGCAAGTTCACTTCCCCTTCAGCTGGGACAGAACGGGACGGGATGGGAAGGAGCCCCTCACTGCTGATGCGCACCATAGTGCTCCTCTATGTCACCACCCTGAGAGTAGTCCCCTGGCCGTCCTGGGTCTCCTTCTCCTCCTTGCTTGCTGCTTCTCCCTAACACAGAGAAGCAGTTAGGTGTTGACTGTGGTTTGTGGTGCATTCAGGGCAAACAGCCGTGTGTGTGGTCACCTGTGTCCGAAGTCATGTGGAGGGGTGACTGCAGTCGTGTCATCCAACACAGACCTCTGCGTCCCACCTCAGGCCGGCCTTGCCTGGCCCAGTCCCCTGGGACCCTCCCCTCCTTCTGGGGATGCTGGCATCCCTTCCAAGGAGGTTAGCAGGCTGGCTGCGGTGGCAGGCAGTGTCCATGCTCCTGCACAAGCCCCTCATGGCCCTTGTTCCCCCAGGCCAGCTCCAAGGACACTGGCCAGCTGTACGCGGCCCTACACCACCGAATCCTGGCCTTGCGCAGCCGCGTGGAGCAGGAGCAAGAGGCCCAGGCCCCTGTGCCTGAGCCTGGAGCCCCATCCAACGAAGATGACAGTGACGATGACCTGCTGGCCCCCTCAGGAGCCCCCGGAGCAGGTGAGTGGCGGGTGCTACCCCGAGGGCCCCAGGGCAGCCTCCTGGCAGGCTGGTGACTGGAGTGACATCAACCCCTCCCCACAGGTGCAGGTGAGGAGGGGGACGGGCAGGTGCCCGGGAGTACATAGCGGGCGGAGGTGCCCCTGTGCAGAGGCTGCTGCTTTGGCGTCTGTGGCCGCCTACCCTCCCCAAAGGCAGCATCAGCTGGGGTGGAACTACAGCCTGGACCCCACGCCCGTTCCGAAGCAGACTCGGGAACTGCCTGGATGTGGTTTGGGACACAAGACCTCATCATATTGATGAGCAAAAAAGAACGCTCCTCCCCAACTCCCCCGAATTGAAATGGCACATTAAGACTTGTCACGGCTTCTCACTGGGACTGGAGACTTCGTTTCTTCACCTGCGTGTCGAGCCTCTGGGCCTCCCCACCGCGTGCCCTCCCTCCTGTGGGTCCCCACCACACCCCGGGACCCTCGCGAGTGTCAACGCTGGGCCCTGGATGCTCAGTTTACTACACTCTTTGTTCCTGTTTCCCATCTTCTGATTTGGGGTTTATATTTTACAGATCTTATTTTTTTTATGTCCAAAGGCTTTGGTTTTGGTTTCTTGGATTGTGATGCTCTGGTGTACTGGGCAGGGACAGCCCTGGCCCTCGGGCCTCGCGCGGGAGAGCATTCGCAGGAGAAAGTCACGGGACTTGGGAGGGTCCCCAGGGGCCCTGCCATCTCTCCCTGTCCAAGTCACGTGATCCGCCTGCTTCCTGCGTGCATTGGCCACCCCTGGGTGAGCCCTGACATCATCACCCCCAAACTGCTGTGGGCCTGGGGCTGCCGTGAGAGGCAGAAGGGCCTGCCCAGAGTGACGGGGCCCTGCCCGACAGCAGGACAACAGGCCTTCCCAGCACGCCACGCATAGGAGTGGGCACTGGCGTCTGGCCCAGGCCCAGCGGGGAGGCCACAGCGGAGTCCCTCCTGACCAGGCCTCCTTGGGACAGCAGAGGAAATGGCCCAGCCCCACTCTTGGGGGCAAAGAAGAGGCCCCGTGCCCCAGCTGTTCTCCCCACACCCAAGGCCTGGATGGCTCCAGCAGCAACACTGGCACCGGCCAGCGCCAGCACGCCTGGGCCTGGGAAGACACCAGACGCCACCCAGGAGATCCGGCCACACGTCTCTGCTTTAAGCCTTAGCCAACTAGTGACAAGTAAAACCAGACAATGCCCATGTGTTTTGGAACATTTATGTAAGATTGTCATATGAAATGTATTTGGGAACTACATTAAAACTTTTAACTAAAACCCTGGCCTCCTGCATGCCCCAGGGGCCTCAGGAAGGAAAGGCCGGCCAGGGCCACCTGTGCCTGCAGGGCAAGAGCCCCCAGCAGCCGGGGCAGCCACCCCACCCTCGTGAGCGCCACACCTGGCCAGGTGTCCCAGTGGACCTCAAGCTCAGCGTCTGTCCCGACCTGCCCACCCACCTGGCTTCCTGGGGACTGTGGTGGCTGGGAAGGGAGGGCAGCTCTGCTGTCCTCCTGTCCCACATCTGCCTGGCAGCCCAACGGGAGACCTGGTCCAGCCGGTTCTTCAGCCCTGCTGCCCAGCCCCCCTCCCCCTGAGTCCCCTTTGGGCTTTGCCCTGAGGCCACCTGGCCAGGTAAGGGGGTTGGGGGGGCTCCTGGGCTTGCTGCTCAGAGCCGCCAGGCACTGGTCACCATGGCCACAAACTCCTCGTCGGTGTCCACAGAGGCGCTGAGCCCGCTGTAGTAGTCTTGGAATTCCACAAGGGTGACCTGTGGGCACACAAGCTTGAGGGGAGGTGGGCGCCCAGCCGCCTCTGGAGGAAGGGCCACTGTGCAGCCACTCACCTGCCCATCCTTGTCATGGGCGTCAAAGTTGTCGAGGAAGCGGCGCAGCACCTCCTCCTCTGTCCACTCGCCACTGCGCACCTTGGGGTGGCTGCGGCCGCTGTACGCCCCGCGGAGGTCATCCACGGTCACCACACCGTCTCCACTGCGGTCCAGCTTGGCAAAGGCGGCTGCAACGATGGCCTCCCGGGCCTGGGACATGGGGGGCTGAGGACAGAAGCAGGGAAGTCACCTCAGCCAGCACCTCTTATCTCAGGGACAGGTTCCACCTCACTGACCCGGGTCCCTGGACACCCCAGTGGCAGCCGCACCCGCAGGGCCCGCAGAAACTCCTCCAGGTCCAGCGTCCCACTGCCATCGCGGTCCCACAGCCTGCACACGGCCTCCACCTCTGCTGGCTCCAGCACCAACCCTAGCTCAGCCAGGCCCCTCTGCAGCTCGGCTGAGTCCAGGGAGCTGCTCCCATCCTGGTCCAGCCTTCGGAAGAACCTGCGGGCAGGCACACAGTTGGACGGGGCTCGCGGGCACTGGAGCCCCGGAGGCTCGAGAAGGACCCCTCACCTGGCCAGGCTCTGGATGCCTGAGGGCCCCCGGGCCAGACACTGCGCCCGCAGCTTCTCCATGGTGGCCTCCACGGTGTCCATGCTGGGCCGGCTCTCTGGACAGCTGGAAGGCGAGTCGCACAGGGATGTCCTGCTTGGTCAGCCAGGCGCAGAGCCCGTGTGGCCGCAGGCCTGCAGCACCCCTCCTACTCACCTGGCCTGAGTCCGTTCGTGCGTCCTGTCACGCTGCCCCTGCTTAAGCTTTGCGTCTTGTTGCCAAGATGGTTGCTGGTTGCTAAGGGAGGTGGCTCTGGAGACTGGGAGGGGCCCAGTTTAACTCTCCCTATGCTGGGACCAGGCCGGACATGTGTACTCCTCCCACTCACAGCCCTGGGTGGAGCCAGGTTCAGGTGGCCTTGCAGCCTCAGAGAGGAGAGTGGTTCCAGCCCTGCAGGGACGGTGGCCTCCTGGAGACAGGCCTGTGTGGCTACTGTGTGACCCAGGGCAGGTGCCTTATCCTGTCTGTGCTTCTTGGGCGGCTCAGAAGAGCTCCAAGCATCTGGATCCTGTTGCCCCCAGGCCCGGCCCAGGCCCGGCCCAGGCCCGGCCCAGACCCACATCCAGTAGGAGGTTGTCGGATTCCATGAATGCCAAGCCTGGACCCAGGCAGGTTTGTTATTTTGTTTGTTTGTCTTTTTGAGACAGGATCTCAAAAAGACAGTTCAGGCTGACCTTGAGCTCACTTTGTAGTCCAGGCTGGTCTTCTTTTCTGTGTTTTTTTTTGGGGGGTAGGGGGTGCTGGTCTTGAACTTGCAATGATCCTCCTGCCTCAGCCTCCCGAGTGCTGGGATTACAGGCGTGCACCACCACGCCCGGCGTAAAAACAGCTCTAGGGTTTTTTTGTTTTGTTTTTTTAGTACCAGGAATCAAACTCAGAGCCTAGTGCTTACCAAGCAGGCACTGTGCCACTGAGCTATCTTCCCGGTGGCAGTTTCAAAAGACAGTGACACTCACTGGAACAAAAGCTGTTTCTGGCAGACTCAGGAACCAGTCTTGGAATTCCTGTCATGGAGGTTTTGCTGATTGCTTTTCAGCCCTCAGACATCACTTTGTCTCGGGCTCAGAGTGGAGAAACAGCCCCAGACCCCGATGTAGCGGAGAGAAACGAAGGCCAGCGTCACAGGAGGCCTTTGCGGAAAGGTGGGACATAGAGCATCTCCCAGGATGGAAACCCTGACCTCAGGCCACCCGTGCTGTGTGCAAGGGTTTGTCCGGGAGAAGCTGGGACAGAGAGCCTTTCAAAATGTGTGTAGTCGTGTCACATTGCCGGAAGTTACCTTTGTATGCGGAGATCAATCCAGAGATTACGAGTGAGCAAGCACCACCACCCAGTGGGGCCCAAGATACCCCCAGTGACATTACACTGCACACACTGCGATGGTTTACCGTGACCCAAAGCTCTCAGAGTAGGCAGAGAAAGCCTTTGTCGTTTGATTGGGCGTTTTGCTTTGGTTTGTTTGCAGTGCAGGGAGGGAACCCAGGGCCTCCCGCAGGGGAGGCAAATGCCCCCCCAGCTCTGCTGTGGTTTTGTAACTAGTGTCACATGCGTCCACTTTTCTTTTTCTATGGAAAAATGTAAACTATGGCTGGGGGGTTGGCTCGGTGGTAGGGTACTTCCCTACCGTGTGTGAAGCCCTGATTTGATTCCTAGCACCACCAAGATAAGAAGAATGAGTAATATAAAAAATATTCACAACTTTTGTTTCTTTTGCAGTACTGGGAATGAAACCCAGGGGCCTCACACCGAGCTACATCCCCAGCCCTTTTGTGTATTTTTTGGCACAAGGTCTCACAACGTTGCCAGGGCTGAACTCAGACAATACTCCTGTCTCAGCCTCCCAAGTGCTGGCATTACAGCTGTGCCCAGGCCAGACCCAGCTCTTTTAAAACTGAGGTGCTAGGCTGGGTGTGTACCTCAGTGCTAAGTGCTTGCCATGTGTGAAGTGCTGAGGCCCACCCCCAGTCTGTAAAAACTAAAAGCATGTAAAGCCGGGCATGGTGCTGCCCGCCTGTAATCCTAGCACTCAGGAGCCTGGAGGATCCTGAGTTGAGGCCAGCCTCTGCTACAGTGAGACTCTGTCTCAAAAAAAAACCTCAACAATTACCCCACAAAACTGCAAACCCTAGCCCGCCAGACCTGGAGAATTTTACCTTTCTGGGCCTCAGTTTCCCCCACTGTTGAGGGAGTGGTGCCTGCGTCCACTGGGGGATACAAAGACCACACACAACAGTGTACATAGCCTGCCCAGCACCACCAACCTCATGTCTCCAAGGCCCAGCATGAACCATGAACAACACAGTCCCTGAGCCAGGAAGAAAGAACGAGGGACCCAGGCCAAGAAATGGTGCGGTTTATTCTCAAGCACAGACAGGCCCCAGCCGGCCTCCCTTCTGTACAAACAGGCCCCCTTCATTCATCTGGAGGAGGAAATGGGACTGCTGTCACTGCTCTGAGGGGTCACCATTAGATGACAGTGTTAATGTTAGGTCCCGAGGGCTCTGGGTGGCCACCACCCTTTCTGGCTGAAGGAGATGCTGCCCCTGGGTGGGTCCTGGCCACCGACCAGCCTGGGCATAGGGAGGCACAGGCATCTCTCTGGGCCTGGCTTGATAAAAAGCAGCACCCTCAATGTCTTGGGCCAGGAAGGGCGGCATAGAACAAGGAATTAAAAAATAGATTCTTTATAAAAACATAGCTGCTTGCTACACAAAGACAGATGCCCTGGAGGCAGGCGGCCCCTTGGATCCTGTTCCTTTAGAGGCTCCCAGGGCACAAAAGGCACTGGTGACAGAGAACAAGAGAGAAAAACCCCTGCGCTGAAGGAGGTTATGTTCCAAAGATGGGACAGTAGGAATTCCATAAAGCAAATGGAACAACAGGGCAGAGTGGGGTGGGAGGAGGAACTACATCAAGTGAAGTGTTCAGGGTGGCCTCCCACGAAAATGGCTTTTGAGCAGAGACCTGAGTGACAAGGCCATGGGAATTTGGGGAAAATGCTCTCCAGGCAGAGAAAAAGCCAGTGCAACGGCCCTGGGCCAGGATGTCACCAGGAGAAGGTTAAGGGCTGCTTGCTTTTTCCCAAGCAGTCTGGCAGCCAGCTTCTCTCTCTTGCCAGCCCGATCTTTGGGGATCAAAGGCTGAGGGAAGGATGGACTTAGGTAATTTAGATCTAGGATGAACAATGTACAACCAAAGCAAGAATGGCACACGGCTTGAGGCTCCTTGTGTTAGTCTGGAATAAAAAAGTAAGAAAAAACTTTAGCCCTGGGTTATGGGATGGTCTAGAAGAAACAAGAATCAAGACAAGGACTAGGTGTGGTGCTGCATACACTTGGAGGCTGAGGCAGGAGGATCACCTTGAGTTTGAGGCCGGCCTGGGCTACATGAGTTCAAGGGCAGCCTGAACTACACAGAGAAACCCTGTCTCAATAAACAACAAAAAGAATTAAAGCAAGGGGAAAAATAGAGAAGCTCAAATCCTGTGGGACTTGATGCCATTGGCCCTCACCGAAGTTCTGAGTCAGATGTATTTAGGGCATAGAACCCAAACCAGGGAGCAGTGAGGTTACGCACACCCTGGCTAACGAAGGGGCCCAGGCTGGACTCAGCAGGCAAAGCCAGCCAGGTCTCAAACCAGAATCCAGATTTGGCTTAGTACTGCCAGCTTTTCAACAAAGGTAAGGGATTCAAAGTTTCATTTTCTTTGTAACCTGTTCGAGCTAAGCATCTGCATGTGGCCTGTTTGAAAAGATGGCCCTTTTAGCTGCTTCTGCAGCTCAGCCAGGATCTCGGCTCTGCCCTGAGGTTCCCCAGTGGAGGGAAGTCCCCAAGGGACTATCTGTATCGCATCTACAGCCTGTACTCCGGGACTCACACTGTGGTCCCAAACACTGCAGGCTGGAGGTGATCCTCATCCTCCTCCTCCTCCTCTTCCTCCTCCTCTGCGGTGCTGTTGGCGAGGGGTGGACCCGGCCCACCAGGAAGCAGATGGCCTGGCACGCTGTCCGGCAAGGGCCCCAGGCGCTCGGCCTCAGCCAGGGCGGCCAGCAGTGCAGCCAAGGGTGGCCGCCGCTGACAAATGTCCTGCAGCAGCTTGGCTCGGGGCTGCAGCTGCCGGATGAGCTCGTCTCTCTGGTTCACAGCGGCCTGCAGGCTGTGGACAGTGGCCTCGGTCGTCAGGAGTTGCTCCTGGAGAGCTGAGATCTCACTGACAGGAAGGCAAAACGGCAGTTATGATACTGGGGGCCAGAGGGCTGCTGTTCCCCATTCCTGGCTTTCCCAAGGCGCCCATCACTGCGGGATAAAGGCCATGTTCCCGCCACTGCCTCAAGGCCACCCCTTGTTATGGACTGCATGTGTCTCCCCCACATTCCTATTCTGAAGCCCTCACCTCCCGCTTCCCCAGGAGATGGTACGTGGAGACAGAGCTTGTGGGATGTAATCAGTGAGGGTGGGGTCCCCAGGAGGGATCAGTGTCCTTTCAAAACCAGACACCAAGCCAGGTGAGATGGTACATGCCTGGAACCTCACCTACTCGGGAGGCTGAGACAGGAGGATTGCAAGTTAGGGGCCAGCCTGGACAACTTAGTAAGACTTTGTCTCACAATAGAAAGGGTTGCGGGTGTAGCTCGGTAGAACACATGCTAGGTAAAATGCTTGCCTAGTATGTTTAAGGCCCTGGGTTCAATCCCTAGCAAAGAGGAGAGGGAAGAAGAGAGAAGGGGAGGCAAGGATCAGGAAGGGAAAAAAAAGGCCCAGAGGTAGCTCAGTGCAAAGGCCCTGGGTTCCATCTCTAGTTTAAAAAAAAAAAAAAATGGTGGTATGATCTCTTCTTTCTCCGCTCAAGAACCTGCCACAGCTCCCAGCGCCGACACCATGGGCACCACTCAGTACCCGTGTGAAGTTAGAAATCCGCGCTTGTGCCTTTTCCCTCAACTTTACATGACTAATTCGCGTTTGTTTTTGTCTTCAATCCCCCCAGCAGTGCGGTCCCTGCGCGGAATGCAGAGTCCGCCCTTCCTCCCTTTCCCGCTTCGTCTCCGCCTCCTCCCACCTCCTGAACTCCACCTGGCCGCCCGGGCCTCACCGGTCCTTGGCGCGGCCCAGCTCGTCCAGGGCGGAGCGCAGCTGCTGGTCGTGGCGGGCCAGACGCTCGGCCTGGGCGTGCACCGTGCGCTCCGCCGCGTCCAGCCGCGCCTCCAGCTCTGCTGCGCGCCGGTGCACCGCCGCCAGGTGCGCGTTCGCCTCCCGGATCTGCAGGGTGGGTGGTGCGGACATGGCCCCTCCGTGGTCCGGGCCCGGCCACGCCCCTGGGCCGCCCGGAACCGGCGTGGCCCCACCCCCGGGATGGCCACGGTCCGCGAGGACTCGGCCGCAATGGTTGCAGTCTCTGGTTGGCCCCGCCCGAGGGCGGGGCTGTGCTCTCTTTGAAACTCCGCCCTAAACTCGGTCTAACTCCAAGATTGGTCAATATCTTGACAGACCACACCCCCAGTTGGTTTTATACTCCCGCGGCTCGCTCTTCTCACACTGTAGCAACAGATTGGTCAAACCTTCCAGACGAACCCCGCCTTACATAGAAACTAATGCCAGAAAAAAAAAACTAACACCAGGATTGGCCGGGACCTCTCGGAACAAACCTGACCACGCCCACTGAAACCTGCTGCTCTAGTCTTGGGTCTACATGATTGGCTAAATCCTTGTGAGGGTCAGTCCGGAGTACGGTCACGCTCCCTAGGCAAACCTACGACCCCCAGTTGGTCAAGTTCCTGTCAGGTTCTGCTTCCGATTCTGGCCACGCCTCCAGCCAAGTGCCTACTTTATTCCACTCTGGGCTTGGACCAGCTGCAGGTTGGGCTTGGAGCTCGTCCCTCTAATATCCTAGCAACGCCCATTAAACCCTGCCCCTGATTCTAGCCACACCCCAAAATAGTGGCAAGCGGTTCTAACTCCCGTTTGGGAATGGGCCATAGAGCATGGCCACGCCCACGCGTCCTTCCAGGCCCCGCCCCACGACGATGTTCCCCTCCTATTAACTGGAATCCCGCCTCGCCCCTTATCCTGTGCGTAAGGATAGGCCTGGCTGGCACCTGTCATCTTCAGTAATCAAATTATCCCTAAGCTAAGACCCCCGAGCTGGGACTAGCGAAATCTGTCTTCATTGATCCCGGCGCGCCTCAGTTTCTCCTTCCAAGAATCAGCCCGGATAGGGGAGCACTAGACTCCCTTCTCCAGGCCCTCCCCAGCGCCTGCGCGACCCGTGTCCTTTGTTCGCGGCGCTAATAAAGTTGTGCCCTTGTTGCCGACCCGTCAGTGCGAGAGGCTGCGCGCGCCGTCCCGGAAGTATCGCGAGAGTCGGCGGCGGGCTGCCCTTGGGAGCGTGGTTCTTGCGGGACCCGCACTGCGGGGTCCGGCTGAACCGTCATGGCGAAGAGGCTTCTCAGTCTATACACGGACATCCCGGACGGCACCGACTGCCACCGCAAGGCCTATGCTAGCACCACCATCGGCGGCGCCGTCGGTGAGCGCCGGCCGGACTCAGCGCAGAGGGCGGAGGGCGCGAGGAGGTCGTAGGGTCACGGGGGTTGGCCCGCGCGGGTCACAGGGCGCGGAATGTCTCGAGGTCGCGCGTGGCCGTAATCGGGGTGTCTGGGCGGTGGCGGAGTCTCGTGTGCGTGAGGTAGATGCGGTGGTGGGTTCGCGGTTTAGGTGACTGACAGTCGGGCCACCGGGGCCGTCCGAGGCCAGAGAGGTCCCCGGGTGGTAAGGTCTGGGGGGAAGCGTGGAGGGATTGTTGTGGGTGAAGCGGTCACCCCGCTCCGGCGAAGTTGTGCGTTGTGAGACGGGGCCAGTGTCGTGGTCCCCGTGGGACTTTGCGATAGGGTGACTTTGCGATAGGGTGACTTTGCTGTTTGGGGAATCGCGTTGGCGTGCCTGGAGAGGGTCTAGACAGTATGAGAGTTTTCAGGTGCGAATAGGTCTTTCGAGGGCCAAGCGCCGACAGGTGGTCAAGGACATCTGAAGCTCTTACTTTACCCAAGGAGGGTCTTGATCCGGTGGGTCAGGATCTCCTAGGATACCCTATGGGGAGGGGATTGTGAAAGGACCCACAGCTCTGGCATTCTCCTGCAGGGGAGACCCCGAGTGTACCCCTTCCAGTCCCAGAGTGTTTCGCAGGCTTGGTCCTCTTTAATTCTCCGCTCGACGGGAAGTAAAAGGGATGTCCCGTTGTTTTGTTTTGTTTTGTTTTGTTTTGTTTTGTTTTGTTCTGGTTTGGTTTTGTGTGTGTGTGTGTGTGTGTGTGTGTGTGTGTCCTTTTGAGACAGGGTCTCGCTATGCAGTTCAGGCTTCTTTGAACTCGCTTTGTAGCCCAGGCTGGTCGAACTTGCAACGATCCTCCTGCCTCAGCCTCCCGAGTGCTGGGATTATAGGTGTGCACCACCCCATCCCGCTTGTCCTGGTTTTTCTGAGTGGTTTGATTTTGGTTTTGGTTTGTTGGGAGGGGTGTTTTTGTTTTTGCGGTACTGGGCATTGAACTCAGGTCCTTGGCACTGAGCTACATCCCCAGCCCCTTTTTATTCTTTGAGACAAGGTCTCAGTAAACTGCTCCTGCTGGGCACCAACAGACTCCTGGAATACTTGGATTCCAGATGTTGCCACCACGCCCATCTAGAAAGGATGGGTTTAGCCACCTCCATATCTCGAGCTGAAAGGGGGTTTGGCAGAAATTGAGTCTCCTCTCGGAGGTGTCCAGTAGTGATTGCAGCCGTTTTCTCCATTTTCAGTAAGACTGGCCTGATTATCTTCTCTTGGGTGGGAGTGAAGGGCTGGCGGAGGGTGTATCATCCGCCCTGTGTCATGGGGCCCCGGGCCCCTGACCTGTCACTTGAGGTCTGGGGTCAGGACTGTTTCATCAGGGAGCTGACATAGGGTCTTCGGGAGACACGACTGAGGAGGTGTCCTCGGGCGGTGGGTCGTGTGGATCAGCTTAAATGCTGAGTCTCAAGGAGAGCCTGGGTGTGAGATGGGGCGTCCCTTGGGTCTCTGGGGAGCACTTTGGGCACCCTGGAAGGCTGGCTGGTTTTGGGACCAGGGGAGGCGGGGGTGTCACTTTAGGGGAAGTTCCTCTGCCAGTTGTTTGTCTCAGTCCTGACTGTTGGACTTCATGCAGTACCCCTGGGCTCCACCCGTCTTATTTTTCGAGACGCTGTGCCAGTAAGTTGCGGAGGCTGACCTGGACCTCACAGTCCTCTTGCCTCAGCCTCCTGAGCAGTGATGACTACAGGCACGCTCAGCTCTCTGCAGATTCTTGAGGGAATGCCTGGCAGAACTTTTCAGGGTGTCGTGATCACGCTTCAGGGCGAGTGGAGGCAGGAGCCACCTCACAGGTCTTTGGGGGTGTGGGAGGGGAGCGCTTTGTTGTAATGGCGAGGCTGGGCGTGGAACCCAGGGCCTGCACGTGCCAGGCGAGAGCTGCACCCCAGCTCCAGGCCCTTGAGGGAGAGGTGAGGGGGTGGCTGGGAGGGACCCGCTGCCTGCCCCTCGATGTTGAGAGGAGCAAGAAAGCATGGGCTGTGCGCTGCACGTGTGCACCATCCGGGCGGGCTGGAGTGGGGGGGGGCGTCGGGGGAGACTGAGCCGGTGCTAGGTGGGCACTGCCAAGTGAGCGGCCTCGGGGCTGGGGGTTTAGCTCAGCGGTACAGCGCCTGCCTGGCAAGCGCAAGATCCTGAGTTCAATTCCCGGTACCGGAAAAAAAACAAGTGAGCGGCCTCTTGATGGGGGTCACTGCAGGGTCTTTGGGGGGCTGGGCAAAGGAACCCTTGCCAGAGAGGAGTCAGTGAGGAAGTCAGACTTGGAGTAATCCTTGGCTTAAGAGTGGCCCTCCCCTTGCCACCTGCTCCCTGCTTCCCTGTCCTCCTGGGAGAAGCGCTTCCTTCGTGCCCGGCTTCCCCAGAATGGGAGCCCTGGCTGGCAGGGAGCCTCCAGCTCCTGAGGAACCTGGATCCTGTGGCCACATGGCTCCTGTGGGTGGGTCATGGGCACCTTGTGGGCACACAGTGATGGTGGATGGGTGGATGTGTTTATCTTTTGGGCATAGGAACTTTGTGCCTTGTGGGCCCTTGGTCACTGTTTTTGTTTTGTTTTAGCAGGAGAAAATATTTATTGCACTTAATTCTAGTATATTTTTTTAAAAAAATGTTTTTCTAGTATACTTTTTCTAAACTCCTTTCTTAGAAACAGTCACAAGAGCCAGACTTGGTGGTGTACACCTTTAATCTCAGCACTCAGGAAGCTGAGGCAGGAGGATCGCCATGAGTTCGAAGCCAGCCTGGGCTACATAGTGAATCCCTGTCTCAAAAAAGAAAGAGTCATAAAGAGGAAGAAGTCCACTTTATGAAAGGTGCAGATTAATAAAAACATATGCTTTTCCATTGTGTTTGGTTCTCGCTGGTGGCTGTCTCTGCCGGTACCAGTCCGCTCACTCTGAGCACCTCGTCGCCATGCCTCGAAAAATTGATATCAAGGATTTTCTGCTCACAGCCAGGCGGAAGGGTGCCACATCTGTGAAGATAAAGAAGAACAAAGATAATGTGAAGTTTAAAGTTGGATGCAGCAGATATCTCTATACCTTGGTCATCACAGACAAAGAAAAGGTGGAGAAACTGAGGCATTCCTTGCCCCCAGGCTTGGAGGTAAAGGAGATGAAATGAACCAGCCAGACTGATGTGCAGTATCTTAAAAAGCTTCAAAAGTCTAAAAAAACACAAAAAATGTGGTGTCAGTGCCTCGCAATGTTCAGAGCTGGCTGTAGCTTAGACATTTGCTTCTCAGTCCTCCGTCAGCTGCAGTGGCACCGTGTGCCTCACCGTGTATCTCATGACTGCATAGTCGCTGTTTTCCTTGCTCTTCCCACGGAAGAGAAAATGAGCAGTGAGACGGGCAGTGATCTGACGTTAGGCATAGCCTCCACTTTCTCAGACTCGATGGAGAAGGGAGATACTTAAGCATTGGAATATAGAGACACAGTTGCAGGCTTGAAGTGGCATAGGCAGTAGTCGTGGTGAATTGGAGAAGCCAGGTGTTTGGGCTGTCAAGGACAGAAAAATAAGGCTGTGCTCTGTGACAAGGGTTTGGCCTGTGATTGACATCTGTTCTTGCCTTGGTGCCTTTCTTTCTTTCTTTCTTTCTTTCTTTTTTTTTTTTTTTGAGACAGGGTCTTGCTGTGTAGTTCTGGCTGGTCTTGAACTCAGGAGATCCTCCTGTCTCAGCCTCCCAAGTGCTGGGATTACAGGCACTTTTTTGTTTTGTTTTAGCAGGAGAAAATATTTATTGCACTTAATTTATTGCACCGTATCCAGTATGAGTGGCATTTTTTGAGATAAGTATTTGTGAAGTCTTAAAAATATTCTTCCCTTTTAAAACCCTGAAATTGGATGCCACAGTCACTTGCAGGCTATAATTCTGTATATATTTTGCATACATACTACTCCTGTCACATGTTGGTTACGGAGCATCTCTTTTATTTTTATATTTTTCACTTTTAACTTTTTGTTGTATTGATACATTTTCAATATACATAATGATCACATTCATCATAGGAAGTTTATACCTGCACATGATATTTCTTGCTGCTTTTTTTCCCCGTTCCCCTCCCCTCCCTACCACCCCTCTTCCCCTCTTTATTTATAAAAGCTTTGTTTCCATTTTTTCCTTCTATTCTTTTCTTCTTGTCCCTTCTTTCCTTTCTCCCTACCTAGCCCCGCCTCCTTTTTTTTTTTGTCTTTTTGAGACAAGGTTTCACTATGCAGTTCAGGCTGGCCTTGAACTCACTTTATAGTTTTGGCTGGCCTCAAACTCACAGCAATCCTCCTGCCTCAGCCTCCCAAATGCTGGGATTACAGGTGTGCACCACCACGCCTGGCTTCCATCCCTATTTTGGAAACACCCTAGCTGACAAGGATCGGCAGTTTAATAAATGGGGGAGACCTTTTACTAAACTCAGTGAAACCTTTCTCAAAATAAAAAAGGCCGAGGTACAGCTCAGTGGGAAGGCCCTGGATTCCATTCCTGTTACTAAAAGAGAAAAAAATGAAATGAAAACACACCCACTTCATCAGGGAGCAGATACTAATCACCAGTTGTCAGTACTGTGGGTTGACTTGAAACCCAGTGGGACGCCAGGGAGCCCTGGGGCTTCGGGTGTGCTGTAACCAAAGTCGCAGCCAGGGCAGGAGCCAGAGCTCCTGTCAGGAGACCTGCACAGCACCAGACCCAGGCAGCGGCCCGGGGTGCAGAAAGTGACCCCAGCAGTGATTACTGACGACCAGGCGACGGGGGGATGGGCGAGCGTGCTGTGCGGGGCTTGTGGGAAGCTCGGGCTGCGGCGGGCGGCGGGGGCTGCCCAGCAGTCTGAGGCAGCAGGGCCTGAGTGCGGGGGGGGGGGGGGGGGGGTGCTGTCTTCAGCCCCCAGAGGGGAAGCAGAGTCTTGGGGTGCTGGCCCATTTGCCGTCCCGTCTGAGGTGCTCTGTGGGCCGAGGGTCCCTGGGTCAGGATTGCCGGCCTGGGGTGGGGTCGGTAAGGTTCGCCCCAGGACTCGCTCTGCCCGGGGCCTGGGTGGGACTGAGTGTCCCTGTCATTAAGAACCGACAGCCAGACAGCCAGGCCCTCAGCGGCACGCTCCTGCGATCCCATCGCTCTCATCGCTTGGGAGCCTGCCAGGAGGGTCCTGGTGTGAGTCCCACCTGGGCAACTCAGCAAAGCCCAGTCTCAAAAGGGGGGGGGGGGGGGCGAGGGCTGTCGTACAGTGGTAGCGCTCCGGTAGGTTTGAGCCCCAGTCATGGGAAGAAAAGAGAAAGATACCCGGACTAACGGGGGCACCTGTAAACCTTGTAGCTGAGGGTGGGCTGGGGAACCCTGGATTCCCTCCAGACTCCAAAACCACCCACCTCTTAAAGGCCAAGTGGGGACCCTGAATTTGAAGCGACAAGATCCACAGCTCAAGCCAGGTGTGATGGTGCACTCCCACAATCCCAGCACTCTGGGAGGCTGAGGCAGGAAGATTTCAAGTTTAAGCTCAGCGTAGGCATCTTCTGGAATATAGCTCTGGGCAAAGTCCTTGGGTTCATTCTCTAGAACTGCAGAAAAAACCACAGCTGTTTATGCTCAGATCTTTTCTTACGTGCCAGGGCCTCAGTTTCTTCATCTCTGCGCCAGAGCACTGTCTCAGGGCCCCCAGGACTGCCCTGATGATCTGCCCCACTGCTGGGTGTGCAGAGGGCCCCCGGCAGGCGCTGGGTCAGAGCCACGGCTTGAATGCTGGGGACGCCTCAGAGCCTGGCCTGACTCCGTGACCTGCGTGCGCTCCTGGCTGGCTGTGCTTGGCCCTGTCGGGCAGGTCAGCTTGCTCTTAGGGCCCAGAGGGTGGGAGGTGCTGTCACCGCTGGTTCCCTGTTGCTGGGAGTATCATCCCTGAGAGGTCCTCACAGTAACTGGGTCTCATCAGGGAGCGCCCAGCGTGAGGGAGGAGCCCATGTCGGGCTGTTCAGTGTCCACTCTATGGGGACAGCGGCCCCAGGGCTGGCCCTGCCGGGCCCCATGTGTAAGAGCCAGTGTTGGGCAGTGTGGCCAAGGACGCGGCAACGGCAGAGAGGAAAGCTGGCCAGGGCTGTGGGGCGGCAGCCAGGCCAGCCAGGTGCAAGTGGTGCGCCCGGCAGAGCTGCCACCAGCACCAAGGGGCGGGAGCGGCAGAGAAGAGACGTTGGCGGCCGAGCAGCCGCCCCGGAGGATGGAGGGGAAACTGGGCCTGTGGGGCGGCAGGGGACCCGCGGCGCCTGCGTTCCGGCCTTGCAGAAGTGGGGCCCCTGAGCTCGTGCCTGGCAGCCGCGGACCTGGGTGCAAGTCCGGCCCGGCAGCTTGCTGCAGTGGAACGCGGCACACGGTCGGCACTGGGAGCCGGGGCCTGAAGCCGGGGCCTGAGCGGCCGCTGTCCTCTGTCCCACAGGCCTGGTAGCCTCCGCCTACAGCCTCATACACAGGCCCCCGGGCTCCACCCTCGAAGGAGTGGCCAGGGCCGGCCGGTACACGTTCACCGCAGGTGAGCCGGGGTGTGCGGGCGGGGCCTGGCCCTGCCTGGGTCTTGTCCCTTGTGCTGTTCCTAGGAGCGTGTTCTACGGCTGCCCCTTCTCCCTCACCCCCACCCCCGGGGACTCTGTCATCAGGGACAGGTGCCGGGTGGGGTCCCAGCAGCCATGGGGTGGAGGCCCGCTCGGCCCAGGGGTTCCCCCTGACCTGGTGCCCCTCTGTGCCGCAGCTGCCATCGGGGCCGTGTTTGGCCTCACCTCCTGCATCAGCGCCCAGGTCCGGGAGAGGCCCGACGACCCCCTGAACTACTTCCTCGGAGGCTGCGCCGGGGGCCTGACGCTGGGAGCACGCAGTAAGTGCCCGCTGCCCCTTCCCCTCCTCCCCATGGGGTGCCTCTGGGAGAAGGGGACCCAGCACAGCCCACAGGGCTGCAGCCATCCTGCCCCTCCTTGAGCAAGGCTGCACCCTGCCCCAGGGCCTTGGCCTGCGCTGTGTCCCCTGCTTGGAGTGCTGCGCCCCCAGGTGTCAGCACAACGCCCTCATCCTGTCGGCCACACCTTGTGGGAGGACACTGGCCCCTGGCTGGCCCCAGCTCTGGCCTTGAAGGCAGATAGGTGCTGGTCCCCACAGGCTGCCTGCCTCCCTGCGCCCCCAAGTGTGCAGGGTCCAGAGCTGCACCCGCACCCTGTCCAGCTGCGCAGATGTGGGAGTTGGGGCTTGTGTGGGGGGGGGTGGCTTTCTCTGCGGGCGGGCCCCCGCGGCCTCGCCCCACCCCGCGGCTGGCCTCAGTAGTTTAGGTTGGATTCGGCCCGGGAGGGTGGGGCACGCCAGCCTGGGCCTCAGGGAAGAAGCAGAGATGTGGGGGTGGCCTTGCCCAGGCGGGAAGCAGGCGGCTGGACACATGCCTCAGTGTCCCTGTCCCTGAAGCCCAGAGGCAGTCTGAGCAATTCAGCCTTCCCTGAAGCACAACTCTGGCCCAGCCAATCTAAGTGCGGGGACGGGGCTCCTCCTTCCCTGCTCGCAATGCCTGACATGCCCCCCCGCTTCGCTTCGCAGTGCACAACTACGGGATCGCCGCAGGCGGCTGCGTGTACATGGGCGCGGTGGCCGCCCTTGTCAAGATGGGCCAGCTGGAGGGCTGGGAGCCGTTTGCAAGCCCCAAGGTGTAGCCCTGCCGCCTCCCAGACCGGCCTGGAAATAAACTGCGTGCGTGTGTGACAGCGTCCGAGGTTGCTTGATGCAGGTCGGGACCAGAGGGAGAGAAGGAGCGCACGCCCCCGCCTGCCCTGGCCGGGTTTTGGGAGGCGGGGAGATAGGGCTCCAGGCGGCGTGTGCTGCCCTGGCTGGGGTTCGTGCCTGGCAGGGCCAAGGGCACGCGGAGCCTGGCCCTGCAGTGCGGGTGGTATCGGCTGGGCTGGCGTAGCCTTGCCCAGGTGCACCTGGTCCCCATGCTGTGGCCTGTTCCGGGGCAGGCGGGGGCCTGCTGGTGGCCACCAACGAGTGGAAACCGGGCCCCACCGCCCACGGCCCCCATCAGCCCAGCCAGCACTGCGCAGGTCGCGGGCCGTCCTCTCCGGGCCTGGCCCCAGCGCCAGCAGCATGTGGAAAACACGCTCGGGCCCCACACACACAGCCGGCTCCAAATTCCCGGGCGTTGGAGCGGAGAGCCCGGGGCGGCAGGGGACAGTGCAGCCTGCCCCGGGAGCCTCGGGCCCCTCTGGCAGCCCCCTGGTGCCTCGGCGGGGACGTCTGGGCCAGGTGAGGGCCGATCGGAGGTGACCCGGGGGAGCATCTGCATCTCTGCTGACCCTGCCTACCAGCTGTCAGCCGAGTGATTTAGGTGGCCCTGGAATGCTGGCGACGCCCGGCTCCAGCCCCCGGCTCTTTCCCCAGAACTGGCGCGGGCTTCTTGGCGGCCGGGAAGGAAGCAGCAGGCTCCAGCCTGCGCCATGGCCGTAAATCAGGGCTCAGCCCCACCCAGAGAAGCTGGGCTGGCACTGCCCCTGGCCCTGTCCCCCTCCTGTGTCCAGCCTCATCCTGTCCTTCCTGCTCTCCCCAGGGTCCGACAGCTAAAAGCCAAACCTGCCAGCTAAGATTAACTGGGCACAAGGAACTGCGAGCCCTGGCCCGGCCCTGCTGTCCGCCCCCCGGCCCTCTTTATGACCCCTGCTCTGGGGGCGCAGGTGCCCTGTGGCAGCTCAGTGTCACCTCTAGGGCTGGGTGTCTGAGGCTGAGAGAGCCGGCTTTAAAGTGAAGCCTCCGCGTTCACCTGGCTGTGTCCTCTGGTGACACTGGCACCCGAGCTTGGGCTCCGCCCGCTGGCGGGCAGATGTGCAGCGAGGCTCGGCAGAGAAAGACCTGTTGTGGGCGCCGTGGGCCTCTGGCCAGGCTCCCATACCGGCCCAGGCCATGCCCGCTGTGGCCAGCAGGGGGCACCACTCACTGCAGCCTGCGCTGGCCCGAGCCCACGGGACGGCAACAACACAGGGTCCCGAGGTCCTGGGCGCGGCCGCAGGAGTCAGGTCCGGTCCTTTTTTACTGCAAGCCGCTGTCTGGACACCTTTCCTTCCAGCCCACCCTGCTCAACGGGCAGGGTTTGTCTAGTGCCCCCCCAGACAGATGCGCCTGGCTGCCTCTGCCACCTGCAGACCCTTCCCCGCCCAGGTGCCCTGGCTCCTCGCGCAGATGTCCCGGTGGAGCCCAGGGCGCGGAGCAGCACGAGGTCCAAGACGGCAGCAGCCCTCCCAGCCCGCCTCAGCTTCCCCTCTGAGCTCAGGGAGCCGGCAGGGGCCAGACTTACCGCCCACCCAGCCCTTTCTGGGCCTGCCGCCAGGGCTGGAGTGGGCCTGCCAGGGCCCCAGCCTGCAGTCCAGGCCCCCCAGCATGGGGCAGGAGGGGGCGGCCGATCGCCAGGCTCCAGGGAGCCCCAAAATGCAGGCCCCCTTGCCCATAAATATTTACTAGGTTGTGAGGGGCTGACATCATACCGGCCCCGTGCGGGGGGCCCTGCCCGGAACATCCAGTCCCCGAGCCTTCTGCCCCAGCAGCCCCCATAATGGGGTGGGGGGGCCCGGAGCCAACAGGCAGAGGGGTCAGGAGGGCTTCCTCGGGGAGGAGCGCACAGGATGAAGAGGTTTTCCAGGTGTGCCCACGGGGGGACAGCCCAGGCCCCAGCCCTATCCCCAGCAAGGCCAGCTCTCAGGAGTGCAGGTGCCACAAGGGCCCCCCAGTTCTTTGGGAACCAAGACCGTAGCAGCAAGATGGCAAAGGAGCCCGGGGCCCGGCAACCCCTCTCCAACCCCCAGAAAGGCCCCGGAGGAGAGCCAGGCCTGGTGCATGCCTGTAACTGCAGCACTCGCAGGCTGAGGCAGGAGGATTGAAAGTTCAGGTCTCACCCAGAAAATTTAGCAGGACCTCGGCTCAAAAAATAAAAAGGGCGCCCCGCGGGAAGGGAGGGCCTGCGCCGCGTCCCACCTGCCAGCGGCCTGGCCCTGCGCTCAGCTCTCCGCGTTATTCTTTGACTATTATTAGCGATTGTTTGGAAACGAGTGAGTTATTCTTTGAAAGGGTTCCCAAGAGCTCATGGCGACTGGAACAGAAACAAGCCAGAGGGAAGAGGAAGGAGTTCTCCAGCCCGTGATCGCAGGAGCCCCAAGCGCCTCGCCGCACCCGCGGGTCCTGTGAGGAGCCCAGGCAGGGCTGGGGCGAGGCTCAGCGGGCAGCGCTCGCCCAGCAGGGGTGCGGCCCAGCCCCTACGTCAGCACTGCGAAAAGGAGAAACAGCTGCGTGCGGGCTGAGGGTGCGCGCTGTGGGCACACGAGCTCTCAGAAGGCCCCTGGGCTTCTGTTGCCAGAATCTGCCACGCTCGCCCGGTCTGGCTTCCATCAGCCCTCACCTGGACCAGGGAAGCGGGCTTTACTCACCCGCCGCTTGTTCTTCCCACGGCCGCCACCAGAGGGCGCCCATGAGTATGGAATTACGTCCACCCCCTCTGCCCAGAGCCCACCAGGGCTCCCACCTCCCTGAGGCCAAAGCCCAAGTCCTGCGGCCCGCAGGGACCTGTACGGCCGCTCAGACCCACCCCGCCTCTCCTGCTCCCTCTCTGCCCCTCGCTCCCTCTGCTGCAGCCACAGGGCCTCCTCGATGCTCCTGTACCATGTGGAGCCCCCATCCTTGCCACCACCACCACCACCCCTACCATCATCACCACCATCATTATCACCACCACTGTCATCCTCCCCACCACCACCACCCACCCCCCCTCCCCCGGCATCCTACCCTAGGGCCTTTGCATAGCTGTGCCCTCCGCCTGAAGGGCTCTTCCTCAAGTGCCCCTGCAGCTTCTCCCTGCACACCTCCTTTAGCTCCCAGCTGAGACAGCACCTCCTTTTCCCATCCATCCAGCTGCACTCCACACCTGTCCGGTTCCAGTTTTGCCTGTAGCCATTACTGGCTTATAAACCTCCATCGCCAACATCAGACGTTGTCACGTGTGTCATTTAGCAGAACGGTTCCCTCCACGGGGGCTGGGCTGCATCCTGGCCGTTGCTTCCCCTGGTTCTGCCCAGCACCCACGGGCTTGGCACGCGTGCGTGGGACGGATGAGTGGGTAGATCTCCAGGAGATTCACAGGTGAGGCACAGCCCGCCAGCCCCGCCCGCGTGCCCGCCCTTTGGGTCAGAAGCCGTCTCCTCTCCAGGACTCTGAACTGTGAAGCCTCAGGCCACAGTCACATCAGCAAACAAGACTGAGGGGCCGCACCTCTCTCCAGGGCTCAGTCCGGAGCAGAAGGAGATCTAACATAAATGCGCAAATAAAGCCAGGCACGGTTGCAACGCCTGTCATTGCCGCGCTCCAGAAGGCTGAGGCAGGAGGGTCCAAAGTTTGAGCCCAGCCTGGCAACTTGGCAACTTAGCGAGGTCCTGTCTCAAAAAATAGAAAGGGCTGGGGATGTGGCTCCGTGCAAAGGCCCCACCCCCAGTGCAGTAAAAAGGGCTGGACCCCCAGGGGAGTCAGCCCTGCGCACACAGGGCCCCCCGCAGCGGGGGCTGATAGGAGGCAGGCAGTAGTCGGTGGGGCCTTAGGGAAACACCGAGGCCCTTTGGGCTGTGTTCCAGGCAGCCCCAGCCTCAAAGCCCAAAGCCAGTTTGGCCACACCATCGGGGGGCCGGAAGTGAAGGGCCAGGATTGGCCAGCTCTTCACCCGCTCCACCAGCTTGTCGTCCAAGTCTCAGAACCCTGTGAAGCCACTGGGGCCCTGGTCACACGTCATCCGGAGCACCCCCTGCTCCCCTGGGGCCACCAGCAGAAGAGCCCCTTCACGCGCGGGGCGGGCACAGCCCTTGGGCCCTCCAGTCTCCCACTGCTCTCTGTGCTTGGAATCTGGGGGCCGAGAGAGGCCTGGCTCGGCCCCCAGTCCTGCCAATGGTGCACAGGGTCCCCGGGGCCAGCCAGCCCCTCTGAGCTGGGCAGGGCAGGTGGGAGCCAGGCGGGGGCAGGGCTCCGGAGGGAGCGCATCCGCCCACTCGGAGAGGAGAAGGACCACCTCCCCCTCTTAGTCTTTAAGACCCTACAAACTAATTTCGCCTTTTGTTCCCCTCACAGCAGTCTTCCTAAAATATATTTTATAGTTTTTTTTCATCCCAATAGGTAAAACAGATCCAGGCCACAGGGTTCAAAAGATCCCAAAAGGTGTTCAGAGTACAGCTCAGCCCCCGCCGCCCACCCCGGTCCCCGGGCGCCTCCAGCCAGCCCAGGCCCTTATTTCTGCCTCACAGCACTTGTACCAGATCGGTCAGCTTTCCGTCCTCCCCCGCGGAAGCCGTATCATGCCCCACCCCTGAGTTTCAGAGTTCTGTCTGGTTCCCGCTTAACCGGGCATCTTGGATCTCCTCCTGTCTGTGGACACCTTCCTCCTCCTCCCGGCAGTGTGATACTCTGTCCTGCAGCCACATGCCCCTCCCGGTCACAGCTGACTACAAAGACCTGTAGCAAGTGTCCCCCTTACCGTTCCTGTGACCCTGGGGACTGAGCCCCAGGAGCACTGAGCTATACCCCAGCCCCTTTTATTTTTTATTTTGAAATAGGGTCTTGCTGTCAAACTTGCAGTCCTGCCTCAGCCTCCTGAGGAGCTTGGATGACAAGCATAGTCATATCCACACATTTTTATAGACTCATGCAGGATGGTTTTCCTACCCTAAAACCCCTCTGTGGTCCGGTCCA